TATTTATCAATCAAGTTCAATGATACAACAAATTAATCTCGCTTAATAACATATGCAGTATTTAAAATAATCTTTACTGATAACAGTTAGCAATGAACTATAAATAATGGAAAAACTTTCAATATTCTCACGAATCCAATAATATTTGTGATAAATAGTAATTTATGGACATTTTATGCCAGTTTTATGATTTTTAATGTTCATATTCCATGAACTATTTCAAACATTTGCAGTATAAATTTTAATTATTAAACACCCAAGTAGAAATAATTTCAAATAATGAAAAAAAAATAATTATTATTACTGAATAATTTTATTAGGAAAATCTGATTCTTTCATCATTTTTAATTGTTCTCACAGTTGGAATGTTTAATATAAACTGCAAGGCATACACTAGGGATATACCTAAATATTAAATAAACAATAATACAACAATTATACGACTATATAGTTCAATTAAGTCACATATCTACATCAACAATTAACACTTTTTTTCGATTTTTTTATTCAGAGAAATAGATAATTAAATTAAATTTATAAGTTGTTTATAGTTTATTACCCCATGAAACAAAGCCGAAAATGGCTTGAAAATTTACTGGGCGCTATTTTTTATCTTGAATGTCAATAGAAAGGCTATATTATCTCGTGGTTATCGAAACTTTTACTGCATCATGATATTTAAGCAAAAAACAAAAGGGACTTCTTTCATTCATTTCAATATTGTGAAAAAACTACACATTCTAGATAAAAACAGACGACTTTCATAAATATACTTTCTCTTTAAACTGATATTTTCTAAATTAAAAAATGTTTATAAACAAAAAAGTTATTGCATTGTATTAATCCTGAAAGTAAGCATGTTTTTCAATTGTTTATAATTATTAAAATAAACAATAAAAACATTTAAAACACATTTCTTCATAGTGTTTTTAAGTAGTTACTACATTTGAGAAAGATGGGCACAATCAGTCAAGTAGTGTTGTAACAATCATATTTGTTTATCCCATTTGAAAGAACAAAGGCCATTTTTAATGTACAGGTGCTTTGTCAATACTTGGAATTTTGGTCTGATTCTCTTTATAAGGTCTCAAATTTTCTTGTTTTTTAAAAACTATAATAATTTTTAATTGTTTACACACAAATAATTGATGCAGAATGAAGTACCATTATCATTATATTGGCAATATCCCTAACTTATGCCACGCAGCATATATTGGTTCTTGGAAAGACTCCAAGAACTAGGATATAACAAAAAGTTATTGCTTCAGTTTAAACAACAGAAAGTTAAGATTCTTAAAGAAATAGATAAGGAAATGCCCAAGAAGGGAATAAGGCTTGAGAGAAAACATGTGGTACCAAGTCATTTTTTAGATTTCGGAAAAGGAAATATCTAAATACAGTAGACTCGAGATTATCCGAGCCCGAGCCTCTGGATTAACCAAGGTAGTAATTGAAAAGAACAAATTATGTAATAAATTAGCTTAAAAGTAATATCAAGTAAAAGTGTTGCACTGATTGTTGGTATGCCGAAGAGATGAGTCACTAGCGAGTGTTATTGTTCTAGCCACTCTGCTTCTACTGGCCGCCTCACCAGCCACTCCTTTATCCATCAGAAAGGTAAATGAGTTGTGCTTTCTTTAGAAACAAAATTAAGTGCTATAAAACGCTTGGATAAGGGTGAGTCAGTAAATAAGGTTGCTGCTGGTCTAGGTGTTGGAGAAGTAACTTTGGGAGATTGGAGACGTAAATGAAAAGATATTGAACAATTGGTTAATAAAAGTGTGAGTAGTGGAAGTAATTTGTTGTGAAAAACTATGAAGAAAGGACAATACGAACAGACATCTGAAGCCTTATTTTTATGGTTTTTTAATCTTCGATGGTTGGGAAGTCCAAATAGCGGCCGCATGCTTTAAGCTAAGGCTGCCGAATTTCACAAACGGTTTAAGGATGGCGAGGAAAATTTTACTGCAAGTAATGGTTGGCTCGACAGATGGAAAAAGAGGTATGGCATCTGACAACTGAACATTTCTGGTGAAACAGTTTCGGCAGATTCATCTAAAATTGAGCTGTTTAATTTAAAATTGAGAGATCTCATTTAAGAGTGTGATCTCACGTCAAACCAAATTTTTTATTGTGACAAAACGGATCTCAATTTCAGAATGCTTCCAACTGAAACACTGGCAGCTCAAAATAAAAAAACTGCGCGTGGATAGAAAAAAGGAAAGAACGAGTAACTCAAGTGATGTGTAGCAACTCTTCTGGATCTTTAAAATTAAGACCATTAGAAAATCGAAGAATCCAAGGACTTTTAAAAATATTTAAGTAAACTGCCTGTCCACCATGTACAGGAATCAACAGTGTGTGGATGGATCGCCAAATTTTTAAAGATTGGTTTTTTGATGAAACTACTAAAAAGAAAAACCTACCAAGAAAAACTATTTTTTTTTTTTGGACAACGTGCCATGTCATCTAGATGCACGTTCGTTGGCTAGCAGTGATACTAAAGACACTAAAGCTGTGTTCTTGCCCCCAAATGTCACATCTCTCATTCAACCGCTGGACCAAGGAATGTTAGAGGCTATGAAACGGAACTATCGTTGAAGGCTTCTCCAAGTTGACCTGCTTCGATGAGGAAATGACTGTGATAGCAGCCCTTTAAGGATGTTTCTTACTGTATTGCTTCAGTGTGGAATGATGTGAGAGTAACACCTTTGCAAAAGTCATGGCGAAAGCTTTTTCAAATTAAAGCGAAAAGTTATGGAAAAGATAACAATGACTGTATTGCTGAGAAATAGTAGACCTCGCTAATCAGTTACCAATGAAACTGCTGATCAATGATGAAGATGTCAACAAGTAGATTATAATTACGAATGATTATGGAAGATTAGCAAATGGAACTGACTGATGATGCAATCGTCAACATGGCTATCAACCCACACAATGTCATTGCAGATGACACAGACGAGATAATCGAGAAAATATCTCACTCCGTAGAATAGAAGACGGTTGGAGCTGCCCTTGCCTACATTCAGTAACGGGAAGAGTCAAACACTACCGACGTCCTTCATCTTCAGTGTTGGCAAAACATCGCAACTTCAAAACGAGGCCAGAAGTTTATGCAGAAATCTATCAAAGACTTTTTTAAAACATTAAGATAATCCAGTATGTAATTGTGTTCCTATCTGTATATTTTAACTATGTACTCGCTTATAGGTTAACATACTTCAATTGTACATAATAAATGAATTACATATGTCATAACTTGTAAATTTTTTGTTTATTTTAAGCAACAACTCGATTTCCAAGTTATCTGAGTTTTTCAGTATCCAAGGTATGTGCAGTTCCAATTAGCTCGGATAATCGCGAGTCTACTGTAGTGCTAAATGTTGTGAATTTGGCAGATGATTCATTAATTCATATACAACTTGGTGTAATATTACATGGGCAACAGCTATCTTGTGAGTAAATGCATTATTTTAAGAGGATTTTTTGCAAGACAATGCATTTTTGCAATTAGAGCTGCATAGTTTTCAATATAGCCTTTTTCATGTAATAATTTGAATAATATGTTTCACATAAGAAAAAAAAACAGTTTTATCACATTTCAGGCTTTCTTTGGTGGGCTTCAGCCAAAAAATCCTTCACATTGTGTTCTATAATTACCAAATATTGTTCATTGACTCTATATATACAATCACCTATTTTACTTATAGTGTAGTGTATGTTGTGTATATGGTTACAAACTGTAGCTATGAACCTAGGAAAACCAGGCCAGATAATACACACACAATAAATTTTATTCAGTGAATCACAAAAACAAAATAATAATGTAACAAATTAGTGCTTAAATGGAACAAAAAAGAGAGATTAAAAATATATTTATGTTTAAATAAGTTTTGGAAACCAGTCTTGAATATTATAGTAATAAATGGGTATAAAATAATAAAAATTCCAACTGCAGAAATTCAAACTATTCAACAGTGACAAGCTCAAATTTATAGAACATCAAAATCTATGTAAAATATAATTTAATTAATTCCGATTATAATACATATCTTGAAAGAATATAATTATATAATAAGTATAATATATTTTAAATCCCAATCATGCACTTTTTTAAAAATTACAACGTGCTAATAGTTTGTCACTTCCTATTTTTACGTTAATAATCTTTCCTAGCAACAAAAGTTTAGGAAAAATCTGATAAAAAATTTGTCTTTATTAAAACTGTTGCCAAAAGTAGAAACAATTTAAATAAACAGTAACATATTTTACCTGCAGGAGGGTGACCTGCTTTTAGGGCAGATTCTTGCTTTGGACTCGACATATTTTTTGTTAAAACCACACGAAAGTGTACCAGATGGTTAAACTTATACCGCTCTCACGTTGAACAAGTAATAAATTATTTAAATATTTGTTGAATTGGCCACTTTTAATACAAACAATAACACGTACGCAGTTTTACATAACCTTTAAAATGAAATTATATCCGTGCTTGTGGTAAATTTCACAAACTTAGTTCTCTGGTTCGTGTGTTTCAGGAAATGTATACTGTCCAACAAGTCGTGTACTGCGTGTACATAAGATAAGTAGAAATCAAAAATGTTTCTCACATTTAATATTTTTTTACGTTTAACAGCGTATATTTATTAATTCAATAAATATAAATTGGAAAAATTTGTTCTAAAGCTATTTTCTTGTGACATTAATATTATTTACCATTAACACAATTTAGCATTTTTATTTAGATTTATCCATAATTTTATTTTAAAATAAGAAACGTCAAAATAAACTAAGAAAGAAAACCTTTTCTATACCTTAAAAAGGACTACTAATTTTTTTAACAAAAAGTAATTCATTCACGAGGATTGTAGTTTTATACACTACACATTTCTGAAGTTTGCTCTTTACACATGTTGTTGATTGACAACTTGACAAGAATACGAACTGTAATGACGACTGACGACATATGTCATTTATTTTATTTATATACATTTGTAGGTTAGGAATAAACTGCATGTTTTTGAGTTTTTTAACAACTTTTTAAGAGGTAATTTTAAAAGAGCTATTTTAACATTCAAACTTTAATTAGGGAAATTTATTTTTTTTAGATTAGTAAAACAAAATGGAATCAAATTCATCTGAGAATTCTCAAAAGAGAAATAACAGAAAAAGAAAGAAGTCTTTTCTAAAAAATGCAAGAAAATATGCCAAGAAAGGACACTTTGGAAGAGGCTCACAATTGGATTCTGATACATATCATTACTTTGTAAAAATCTTGGAAACTTTTAAAGAAGGTTTTGATACAGATGAGGATAAACAAGTTTTTGCTAATAATGTATTTGCACAGACTGAAGACCAAGAAGTTAATTGTTCTTGTAATCAAGTGGGATGCAGAGTTGTGGAATTACTCTTACCTTTTGCCAATGATGACATATTGAAAAAATTCATGGTTGCCTTTAGTGAAGATATGAGACCTCTAATCAGTGATAGATTTGCAAGCCATGTATTAGAATGTCTTGTTTCTGAAAGTTGTAAAAGGACTTTAAATAACAAAGTGCCAGAAGAATCAAGAACAGACTATCAGAATTTTGCTATTAAAGTTAGTAAGTTCTTGTTAAACAATCTAGAGGATTATATTTGGGATACTTGTGGGAATCATGTCATAAGAAGTTGTCTTACACATTTAATACAGATGCCTGTTGATAAAAAGAATGAAGAGGTGGTAAAAGTTGAAGTTCCAGATGAGTTTTCTGAGATTGTTAAAGAATGTGGTCAAAGAATTATTAGTTGGCCTCAATTTAAAGAAATGTGTATGTCTGATTTAACATCAGGGTTCTTACAAGTCTTGATGAAGTGCTTAAAAATAGTGGATTCTAAAATGTTAAAATTATATTTAAAAAAGCTAACGAAAGAAGTTTTTGTTAATAATAGTGAACAAATAGAACAACAAACTAATATATTACCTCCTGCATTTGGTTCACAATCTATAATCATGCTTACAGAAACTGCTTTACATCTATCAAATACAAAGTTATTCACACAACTATATACTTCTTGTTTTGCTGGCCACCTTTCTAAACTAGCTACTAAGAGGATTACAAATTTTGCTGTACAAAAATTAATACAACATAGTGAGCAAAAGGAGGAATTTGAGTCTATTTTTGATGAACTTGTAGATCATTTTCCTGAAATTATAAAAGTAGGTCATTCTGGAGTGATCCTAGCTTTGGCAGAAGCATGTAAAAGACTTTGTACTAAACAAGGAAGTTTTGTCCAAAATTTAATGAAAGCATTTGACTGTTTTGAGCCAGAGGAGAGACAAAATAGTTTTATTTTGTGTTTAAGTAGATTTGTAATGTATGAAGTTAATCTCAATATGAGTGTGGACAATCTACAAAAAGAAAAATTAAATTTACATGGAACCTTGATTCTACAGAAACTCCTGGATTTTAACAAACCAATCAAAATAGTAAATGCCTTGTTAAGTTTAGAACAAAATACTCTCAAAGATTTGTTTTCGAATACCATGGGAAGCCATATTGTAGATGCTTACGTCAAGGGTTTGTTTGTGGGGGAGAAAAGTAGAGAAAAGTTGGTTAGAAAAATGATGGGTATGTACAAAGACTTGGCTGTTAGTAAATTTGGTTCTAGGAGTTTTGAGGCATTATGGATTGCTGCCAGTCTAAAATTCAAATTGCAAATTATGGAAGAATTATCACACAAAGATGGCAGTTGGATACACTCAGATTTTGGAAAAATTATAGCTCAAAAAGTTAATTTTGTAACTTTTAAAAGAAACAAAGACGAATGGAAAAACTCTCTGAACAAAAATAAAGGGAATAAGGATGAAGAGATGTTAGCAGAAATCCTCAAATAATGTTTAACTACATAAGTGTTATTGTTTTACATAAATGTTAAAAATGTGTTATAACATTCAGTATATTGTTAAATATATGTATTTTAAAAAAAATTTTATTTTTTTCCTAAATATTTAAAAACATTCACCTAAATTTAAGTGACCATTATAACAGTAATTGAAGGTTGTATGTACTTCATAAACTATACTAAATGTCAATGTGACAATTTTATAACACTAGAAAATAAGACAAAGTTACTAGTTTATGTTCCCTGTTCCAATTGCTGATCAAGAAACCTAGGCATATGAATTCCTAATTCTCTACACTAAAATTTTGATCAGTATTTCTATCTTTAGCTGTGCTCTTCAAAATCGAAGTGACTACTTTGATTTTTCATTCGTTTATTGTGAGATCCATATCTCCCACAGCAGTTGAAAAGAAGGCAAAAGTTTTCGGTCAGTGTTTTGGCATCACAGATTTCTTAAGTGCTATATTAAAAAGAAGATATGCCCTAGATGTCTACTTATCGTTACCTCACACCTATACTATACTATGCTTGTGAAATTAGGTATTTATACTCTACAGACTACTTCACTAGCGCGATAGGTACAGTTCACCAAAAATAGCTGAAAGTCTGAAAATAACCATGCCCATGATGAGCATTTGTCATCTGTCATTCGGTTGTAAGTATGAACCACAAAGGAGTCAATGTTGCAAATCTGTGTACCTATATTAAATATGGAGTTTAAATCGAATTTGAAGGAACATGTTTTAAACAATCGGACACGGGAAGTGATAGCAAATGTGATTCATTTGCTATCACTTCCTGTTTGCAATTTCATTTAATGGAAAAGCCCAATATTCAACATCTTAGACTGAATTTTTTATGTAGTATGAAACATTATATTAACGCAAATCGCCCAATTATATACATGGATGAAACATACGTCCATTCATCTCATACCTACCAAAAGGGCTGGTCTGATAGTTCAAACAAGGGCCTACAAAAGCCAGTATCTAAAGGACAGATGCTTGTGATAGTGCATGCTGGAGGTGAAAGTGGTTTTGTTAAAAACGCTTATCTGCGCTACAAATTACTATAAAAACAGGATATTATCATGGTGCAATGAACTACGACAATTACAAAAAGTGGTTTCAGGATAAGCTGATGCCAAATTTGGCATCAGATCAAATAATCATAAATGTAGGTGTATATAGTGACAGTGATTCTGAAATTGACGAGATGGACTCTGATTCTGAGTCAGACGATTCAGAAATATGAACCAGAGAAACTCATGTTGCATTTCTTCAGAAACTGTTAGGTATTATATCGTCATATTACTGCGAAAAGTCACTAACTAACAATTTTGTAGTTTCGAGTTATTGGAAGTTAAAGATGAAAATTGATTTTATAAATTATCTTTTAAAAAACAATTTATGAACTATATTTTTTTACAAAGTTAAACACCTGCTGTAAAAGTTGTGCCATCATTTTTCAAATAAAGTTTATTTTTTCATAATGTTTTGAGTTAATAAAGTTAGTGAATTTTTGCACAACAAAATTACATGAAGTATCAGTTAGTTACTTTATTAATTAATACCTTTAAGAATACAAAATAGGGTTTTAAAAAATCATTCACTTTCTTCTTCTTGATCTTCTTCGTCGTCTTCTCTAGCAGGTTCTGCAGTATATTCTGAAGTATTGTTTGTGACGGCTAACGATTCATACCAAGGATGTAGCTCTTCTGGTATAATACTTTTACGACAAAGTTTCATTAAGTCTTGTTTCTTCAGAATGCTTATGGGAAGTGGTTGATGGTAAGCTTTTTTGATATTTGTAATTGTATTTTGGCGACCTCGCTTACAAACATTAAGAGTCATGTAGGGTCCAGTATGACTGTAACGGAATTTAATTAGACCTGGATATTGTTTTTCATAACGTAGACACTTTATTTTAAGCCATTTTACCGTATTACCGTCAGTATCTTTAAGGCGATTTTTAATCATTCTTGTACTAAGGTCTTTAAGGTCAATTATATCGGAGAAACTTAATTGATTAACATGATACGGATTAGCCTTTTTATTAATTCTGCTGGATCTGGCCTTTCTCATTATGGTCATCCATTCCATAACAGAGTTAACTGGTACATGCCTTTTTTCTCTCTCAATTGCGCTGTGCATACTGTCGACTTCCATGAAAGAATGGCCAGACTCCAAAAATTTTTGCTCAATAATATCAACGTTTGTGGTTTGAGTAAGAAACAGCAGTAGGGCTGCTATGTGCTGGTTTCTGTTTTGCCCTCCGCATGTGTCAGAAAACAGGGATATTTCTTTGATACTGTTCGGAAGTTTGGTGATCCACTGCATTAGGGCAGTACCGATTTCGTTGCTACCTCGTTTACCATTTACTTCCGACCAAACAATGCAGTATGCCTCGTTAGGAACTCTAGACTCATAAATTGTTAGGTTGTAAATACTTAACTTCCTACAATAGTATAGAAGCGATTCTTCACCAGAAGGTATTTGGAGCACACTTTGTAGATCGACTGTAACAGACATAAATGTTGGATCCTCATTAGATCTGACTTTATCTTGTACTTTAGCTAAATTTGCCTCATCTTTTCGCTTTATATGATTATTGTAATCGACTTGAAGTTGGTCGTTTAATGTCCCTGTCCTCTTAGCTTCACTAAAGGTATGGCACGTGGAACATTGATCTTTTTTAGGGACGAAGAATGATAAGTTATACGACTTGCAAAATATGTTTCTATACATTGAGTGTGATACCGGAATGCGATTATTTTCATTACAGTACTCTTTATACAAGAAGTACATTTTTGTGATGGATAATTTTGAGTCTAAATATCGCCTTTGAGTATTTTTCCTGCAGTAATGTGACTCCATTACAGGAAAGCTCTCAATGTGCTGTTTAACAAAAGCCATATCATCGTCTTTACACTTATTGTGAGGAGTCTTCTTACCACGCTTATCAGCTGCCGTAAAATTTCCATTCTCGCTACCTTCAAAAGCTCTATTTATAGGACCATTGCTAATGTTTAAAGTTTTTTGAAAAAACTTCTGACATACCCTGTATTTTACCTCGTTTTTCATTAGGTAGCATTCCCTGCTATGCTTTCGCTTTTTGGAAGGTTCCACATTTGCTCCAGGTCGCGCTGGTGGTTTTTGTGTTATAAATTTTAAGATAAAATCCTTTTGCCTGGTATAACTAGAAAGACCCCAAAATGATTTGCAAATATTAAGCCTATCCGTATCATTAAAATGTGTATTGCATTTAAATTTACAAGTGTCACATTTAACTTTTTGAGGAACTTTTGCAGGTCTTTCTTTTTTTGTTTTATATGGCAAACAATCAAACATTTTTTTCCTCTCAATATTTCTACTCCAATTAGAAGGATCTGCTTTCATCCAACGACATCGCTTTTTCTTGGGAGGAGCTGCTTGACCTTGTAAAGGGATTTCTTCTAAATTAATATTTGATAAATTATCTTCTTGTTCACCTTCACTGGTCCTTTCTGACCCCTCATTTGGTTCCCAATTTTTATCCTTAACGGAGTCGTCGTCATCCGTTTCATCCTAGAGTAAAAAAACATCGTAATAAAGCAGTGTTTAAACCAGGTTCTAGTAATTAACAATCATAAGATACAAAATTATCCTTACAGCATAATTGTCTTCCACGGGTAAAGTCGAGTACTCGAACTGTTCCTCAGGGTTTGAAAATTTACTGCATGAAGCCATCTCAATTATACGGGTCGTTTCCTGAAATAATGATTACTTTCTTTTTAAAGTGTAAAAAAAATTGGAACAAGAAAATAAATTTGTCCAGTCAGTATTACAATTACCAACCTTTGTTGCAGCTGCACCATATGTTTGGCTGAACCCAGTCTCACAGTTGTTTGAATTTATGGAACTGTCGTTTATACCTATGTCTTTTTCCGCGGCCATTTGGTCATCAACCTGTGATTCTACTGCAACACACATTTGGTTTGGCCTTATCTCGGAGTTGTTTGCGTTTATCATATTCTTACGGTCGTCTTCTAAACTTATTTCTTGGTCTGCGGTTATATGTACTGCATTCTAGAATTCAAAAAAGTTGATATTTTTACTCGTATTTTAATGAAGAGGGATGAAATCTATGATAGAAAAGTAGAAACTATTTTGCCCTAACCTAAACCATTTAGATACTAGATCATTCCAAAGTGTAAAAAAATGTTACTTTTAGAATCGAGTGGTCTCAAAAAATATTGAAAATTCGAATAGGATGTACATGCTAAAGCTTTCTTTTGACACTATAAATTAGATATCTAACAATAATTGTGTAGGGTAATTTATTAAAAATATTAATAAATACACGTGGTATTTTTTTAAGCACCCTGTATATTTTTTTTTTCTAGCATTTTACGAATTTATTTAATTCTAAACACACAATTACAATCTATGAGCATTGTATTAGCAAAACTCCAGTGTACCTATTTAAATTACCCAAATTATGTTCCGCGGTTCAATACAAGGGTAGACCTCTAAAGTCACGTCTGCAGGTCCTCCCACCTCCACATTCTCCGAAATGTAAATGATATAAAATACAAACTCGTTACAATAATATTTATTTTTCTAACTTACCTTTGTCAACGCTAACTGAACCAGTTTTAATGATCTAGAAGTCATTATTCCGTGTGTGTTTACACAATGTTGCACTAGTAATAATATAAAATTATTGTTTTTTAGAATCTATTAATCACCAATGTAGTCACTCCACTAATTCCTAACACCGACTGAAGACTTAAATTTTATCTAACTGCTGACTGTCCTGACGACTGCACATTTTTATATAAATATGTTATGATAAAAGTCACTAACTACTGTTACTGAGATTTTGCATTTATCATTTTTATCATTTGCAGCAGTTCAGTTCTGCGAAAACTCATTAACTCACTTAAACAGTTTTAGCATATCTTATTATTATCTAATTCTTACTTAGTGATTTTTACCGCTTAAGTATTAGCTTTTAGAGCGTTCTGATGTAGTTAATGATTTTATGCACAGTAAGAAAATATAAAAATAAGTCTTACCATACAGTTAGCTCATTTTA